CAAAGCAATCTGAGAAAAAAGTGGCATTTTATACAATAAACAGATGTAAATCCCAATCAAGACCCCCTAGGACTCACTTAGAGCTAGAAAGTTAAGGACAAAGCCTGGCCCTTTCCTTTATTTAAAAAACTAAAATGATTCCATTAGCTCTGTCCCAAATCAATAAAAAATAAAACCAGACCAGTGCCAACAACAGTATTGGGGAATAACTAGAATGAGAATCAAGGAGAATATTAAAACCACCACCACAAAACACAGAGGCCAAGAAGCTTAGCACATTGGGAGGCTGAAGTGGGTGGGTCACTTGAGCCCAGGGGCTGGAAACGAGCCTGGACAACATACAGTTGACACTGAATTGCATACAGTGTATGATGAAACTTGCACACAGAATGGTGAAACTCTGCTCTCTACAAAAAGTATAAAAATGAGTCAGGTGGCCGGGCGCGGTGGTTCAAGCCTGTAATCCCAGCACTTTGGGAGGCCGAGGCGGGTGGATCACGAGGTCAAGAGATCGAGACCATCCTGGTCAACACGGTGAAACCCCGTCTCTACTAAAAATACAAAAAATTAGCTGGGCATGGTGGCGCGTGCCTGTAGTCCCAGCTACTCAGGAGGCTGAGGCAGGAGAACTGCTTGAACCCAGGAGGCGGAGGTTGCAGTGAGCCGAGATCGCGCCATTGCACTCCAGCCTGGGTAACAAGAGCGAAACTCCTTCTCCAAAAAAAAAAAAAAAAAAAAAAAAATGAGTCAGGTATGGTGATGCACACCTGTAGTGCAGTTGCAGGAGGCTGAGGTGAGAGGGTAACCTGAACCCAGGAAGTGGAGGCTGCAGTGAGCTATGATGGTGCCCCCCACCCCGAAAAGTCAGATAATTCAATGTGATCAATGTTTCCCTTAAAATCTCAGCACTCAGGGCCCGGGCGCCATGACTCACGCCTATAATCCCAGCACTGTGGGAGGCTAAGGCAGGCAGAGCAATTGACACCAGGAGTTCAAGACCAGCCTGGACAACATAAAAATATAACAAATTGGCCAGGTGTAATGGTGCCCACCTGCACTTCCAGCTACTCGGGAGGCTGAAGCACAAGAATCACTTGAACCCAGGAGGCAGAGGTTGCAGTGAGCCGAGATCATGCCACTGTACTCCAGTCTGGGCAGCAGAGCAAGAGCCGTCTCAAAAAAGACAAGAAGAAAAGAAAACTAAAGAGTGAAAAAGAGCCGGGCGCAGTGGCTCAAGCCTGTAATCCCAGCACTTTGGGAGGCCGAGGCGGGTGGATCACGAGGTCAAGAGATCGAGACCATCCTGGTCAACATGGTGAAACCCCGTCTCTACTAAAAATACAAAAAATCAGCTGGGCATGGTGGCGTGTGCCTGTAATCCCAGCTACTCAGGAGGCTGAGGCAGGAGAATTGCCTGAACCCAGGAGGCGGAGGTTGCGGTGAGCCGAGATCGTGCCATTGCACTCCAGCCTGGGTAACAAGAGCGAAACTCTGTCTCAAAAAAAAAAAAAAAAAGAGTGAAAAAGAGAAACTCCTCCCAAAGGGAACTAGGCTGTCCCGAAAGGGAAGAGTATTAATGCTCTTTTTCTGATTAATTCATACTCTGAGGCATGCTTTAAATCAAAATGGCCTTCACACACAGCATGCACACATTTAACATACCATCCAAAAGATGATTTTATTTATCTTTAGAGTAACTGGCAGATAATTATGCAACAACTCTACTTCCCCTAAGATTCTAGAAGGCAGAGGAGTCTGAATATATTCTACTTAGCATGAAAAGATTGAAAGCACAAGACAGACAGTAAACATTTTTTAAAGAATTTATAGTTCTGAATTGCAAATGACAATTCTGCATTCCCAAATAGGATGAATGTGCTTGTGAACCAAATTAATTCCCAAAGGGCCAGGTGAGAGCAGTGGTGGTGGCTCATGCCTGTAATCCCTAGCACTTCAGGAGGCCAAGACAGGCAGATCTGAGATCAGCAGTTCAAGATCAGCTTGGCAAAAATGGTAAAACTCCATCTCTACTCAAAAAATTTTTTAAATTAGCTGGGCATGGTGGTGGATGCCTGTAATCCCAGCTACTCGGGAGTCTGAGGCAGGAAAATCCCTCAACCCTGGAGGCGGAGGTTGCAGTGAGCCGAGACCGTGGGCCACTGCACTCCAGCCTGGGCAACAAGAGACAAACTCCGTTAAAAAAAAAAAAAAATACTACCTCCAAGAATCTGGGTGGCTAATCACAAACCTCTATTATTTCTCCCTCACATTTTTAACTGAGTCCACCATTCTGTAGCTGCCCTATCCAGTACTAGAGGCTTCCCTGGTCAAAAAAGCAAGGGAAGAACCAGGAAATCACTTTTCACTACCTCAGTATACTTAGGCATACGATTTCTCCTAATATTTTATTGGCCAAAACAGCTCACCTTGCCTTGTCACATTTCCCAAAAAAAGGGCTAGGGAAGAGGGAAAGCAGTATGTCTCAACGTGGACCCCCAAAAGCCAATTAAATGGTACTTTTTCTTTTTGAGACAGAGTCTCACTCTGTCCCCAAGGCTGAAGTGCAGTGGAATGGTCTCAGCTCACTGCAACCTCCCGCTCCAGGATCACATGAGGTCAGAAGTTCAAGCACAGCCTGGGCAACACAGCAAAACCCCGTCTCTACTAAAAACATTAGCCGGGTGTGGTGGTGCCTGCCTGTAATCCCAGCAACTCGGGAGGCTGAGACACAAGAATTGCTTGAACCTGGGAGGTGGAGATTGCAGTGAGATGAGATCCTGCCACTACACTCCAGTCTGGGCAACAGAGCCAGAATCCGTATCCAAAAAAAAAAAAAAAAAAAAAGTCTCATGTTTTTTGTTTGCTTTTTATTTATTTTATGTTTTATAGAGACAGGGTTTCACCATGTTGGCTAGGATGGTCTCGATCTCCTGACCTCGTGATCCACCCACCTCAGCCTCCCAAAGTGCTGGGATTACAGGCGTGAGCCACCAGGCCCTGGCCTTTTTTGTTTTTAAAACTCAGTCTTACACTTGTCCACCAGGCTGGAGTGCAATTGTGATCTACGCTCACTGCAATCTCTGCCTTCCAGGTTCAAGTGATTCTCCTCCTTCAGCTTCCCAAGTAGCTGGGATTACAGGCACCCGCCACCACACCTGACAAATTTTTGTATTTATACTAGAGACGAGGTTTCACAATGTTGGCTAGGCTGGTCTCAAACTCCTGCTCTTAGTTGATCCACCCACTTTGGCCTCTCAAAGTGCTGGGATTACAGGTGTGAGCCACCAGGTCCAGCCAAGTCAAAATTGTTTTTATGGTGGGTGGGTGGGTGGGTGTGCTGGGGGTGGGGGTAGTACGGAAGTTTGCTGGGGAAAAACTTACAAGGTACTACTTTCTAAGGAATTTACCAGGTGGACATTCACTTAAAAAGGAATCATCACAGAAAATGTTTCACTAGATTTACACATGTGAAGCACTCTTCAGTTGGGTATTTCTGACCTCATGAAACCACTGAGGACATTTCTGTAAAAGGCTGACACATGAGAATCTTCAGTAATTGTGCTGCTTTCAAATAATCTGATTAAGCTTGGACAACCTCCAAGCAATGAATAAAATTAGGCAAAAGCTTGACAATGGCAGTCTCTATGGGGACTAAATTAAAAAAAGGAAAAAAAAAAAAAAAGCTTGACGATCACTATGCATAGTCAATTCACAGCTATTTCAATGACAATGAACATTCTCCTTTACTAATTTCTAAAAGGTCCAAATATCTTGCTAGTGAGTACTTCCGTTACTATTCAGAAACATAAAGATGGGGCAAAACTTTTTCTAAAACAATTATCACGTTCTCAATCTAGGAGGCATCAGTTCTGTACCATAAAGCATGTCAAGAAAACCTGATTCAGATGATTTTAGGAGCAATACTACCAGTTTACCATAAAATGGATTCAGTATGGGTCAGGTACAGTGGTTAATGTCTGTAATCCCAACATTTTGGGAGGCTGAGGTGGGGGAATCACCTGAGGTCAGGAGTTCAAGACCAGCCTGGCCAATATGGTGAAACCCATCTCTACTAAAACTAACAAAAATTAGCTGGGTGTGGTGCAGTGCACCTGTGATCCAGCTACTCAGGAGGCTAGGGCAGGTGAATCGTTTGAACCCAGGAGGTGGAGGAAGTTGCAATGAGCTGAGATGATGCCACTGCACTAGAGCCTGGATGATAAAAACAAAACTGTCTCAAAAAAAGCACAAAAAACAAAAGGAAAAGAAAACAATTCAGTATGATGCCCAAGAAACATTTGGTGATTGGCTGATAGAGCCCATCAAGTCACATTCTCAGATGGCTAACCTGACTTATATTGGTTTTTAAACATTAAATCTCCCCCCAAATTTGGCAATTTTAATTTTATAATTAATTCAGCTGCTTGAAGCCTGTACAAAGTTTGTGATGTCATCACTGTTAAGGTTGATTATTTATACTCATGTCGGTGTGCTTCCAAATCACTTAAGAGCTCTATGATATGCTAAGACACACTTAAGATTTTACATGGCCTCACGCCTGAAATCCCAACAGTTTGTGAGGTCAAGGTGAGCGGATCATTTGAGGTCAGAAATTTGAGACCAGCCTGGCCAACATGGTGAAACCGTATCTCTACAAAAAAATATAAAAACTAGCCAGGCGTAGTGGTGCTTGCATGTAATCCCAGCCACCTGAGAGGCTGAGACAGGACAATCACTTGAACTCAGGAGGCGGAGGTTGCAGTGAGATGAGATTGCGCCACTGCACTCCAGACTGGGTGACAGAGTGAGACTCCTTCTCAAAAAAAAATTCGCCGGGCACAGTGGCACGTAAGTGTAGTCCCAGCTACTCTGGAGGCTGAGGTGGGTGGATCACCTGAGCCCAGGAAGTCAAGGCTACAATGAGCTGTGATAACACCACTGCACTCCAGCCTGAGCAAAGAGAGCAAGACTCTGCCTCAAAAAAAAGATTTCATATATGCAAATCTTGTAACTCAAATGATGAAAAAAATTATTAAGTTCTTTAATTCTAATAGTAAATAACATGGAAAGAATCTAAGAATGTAATAAAAATGTCAAATCTGTAGCTTGAGGAGTCTTAATTCATATTTTCTTAGGAAGATAAAATGCGTAATAGTAATCACGACGGCTGGGCACAGTGGCTCACGCCTGTAATCCCAGCACTTTGGGAGGCTGACACAGGCAGATCACGAGGTCAAGGGTTCGAGACCAGCCTGTCCAACATGGTAAAACCCCGTCTCTACTTAAAAATACAAAAATTGCCGGGTGTGGTGGCTCACGCCTATAATCCCAGCACTTGGGGAGGCCAAGGCGGGCGATCACGAGGTCAAGAGATAGAGACCATCCTGGTCAACATGGTGAAACCCCGTCTCTACTAAGACTACAAAAAATTAGCTAGGCATGGTGGCGCGTGCCTGTAATCCCAGCTACTCAGGAGGCTGAGGCAGGAGAATTGCCTCAACCCAGGAGGCGGAGGTTGCGGTGAGCTGAGATCGCGCCACTGCACTCCAGCCTGGGTAACAAGAGCGAAACTCCGTCTCAAAAAAAAAAAAACAAAAATTAGCCGGGCATGGTGGAGCACAGCTGTAATCCCAGCTACTTAAAGACTGAGGCAGGAAAGTTGCTTATACCCGGGAGGTGGAGGTTGTGGTGAGCCGAGAGCATGCCACTGCACTCCAGCCTGGGCGACAGAGCGAGACTCCGTCTCAAAAACAAAAAAAGAATACAAAACTTAGCTGACCTGATGGCACGCACCTTGTAGTCCCAGCTACTCAGGAGGCTAAGGCAGAATCGCTATGCCCGGGAGGCGGAGGTTGAAGTGGGCAGAGATCACGCCACTGCACTCCAGCTTGGCGACAGAGCTAGACTCCATCACAAAAACAAAAATAGAAATCACTAGCTCTCTTCAATTAAAATGAGCAACAGTACTATGGGATGTATCCTAGAGTGTGTTACAAAGAGCTATGAAGGAAGGAATAACTTGGGTAAACAGTTGGACAAGATTTAGGAAACACACCTGGGACTTGTTTTAAGCAAAGATTTAAAATCGTGTAAAATGAACAGGATTGGTTAGCTGACATGTAAATTACACTTTGTGTTCAGTACTGTGAAAGAAACAGAATGCCATAAGCAGAAAATAATGGAAGTAATAAGAAGCTTCTCTGAAGAGGTCATATTCTAATCCAGTAACTTTGACTGTTCTTATAGTGCCCACATACCACTTGCACTTTTATTAGACAAAAATGACACACACTGAGAAACAGCAAGGAAGGTACCACCACAGCACAGCAGAGACCACAGTTAGAGAAAAAAAACATTCAGAGTAAAAGACTACCTTTTTTTTTTTATTTTTTTTGAGACGGAGTCTCACTGTGTTGCCCAGGCTGGAGTGCAGTGCTACAATCTCGGCTCACCACAACCTCTGCCTCCCGAGTTCAAGAAATTCTCCTGCCTCAGCCTCCCAAGTAGCTGGGATTACAGGCACCTGTCACTATACCCAGCTAATTTTTGTGTTTTTAATAGAGACAGGGTTTCACCACATTGGCCAGGCTGGTCTCCAACTCCTGACCTCAGGTGATCCTCCCACCTCGGCCTCCCAAAGTGCTGGGATTACAGGCGTGAGCCACTGCGCCCAGCCCAGACTAGGTTTTCATTCCTGCTTATTTATATGCTATTTAACCTGAAGCATGTCACTTAACCTCTAGGAGCTTGTTCCTCATCTATAACGTGGAGGATATCCAGCCCTCACTGAGTTATCAGAGTTTAAAATGAGATTGTATAGAAAATTGTCTGTCATATGTGAATCCAGTTATATGTTTAATTCCTTTTCTTTGCCTCACTTCCAAGATTAAATAACAAAAAAACAAAACAGGAATCCAAAGGGGTGGGAGTGTTAATGTGCCTGATGTAGTAAAGAGCTAAATAAAGAACACAAAGCTTAGACTCTAAATCTAATAAAGCCTTTTATATTATATAGCTCCATTTTTTCTAACCCAGATATTCCATTCTTACGTCTACGTTTAATTCCATATCTGGTAACATATCCAAAGAACCTCACTCTCCCACCATCCAAATCTTACCCCCGAAGTCATGTCTCATCTATCAAGTTTTCCCTAACAACTACAGCACACGATCCCGTGCTCCACAATTCTTGTATTATACAACTTGGCAATCAACATTCTTGTTTCTGGACACAGTTTCCATGATTAGACTGTTAACTCTTCCACAGTAAGAACTGTAAGTAATCATTTCATTACTCACAAGGGGAAAGTTATTCCCAAGACATGCTAAATAAATAAATACTGATTAAAAGGCACAAGAGGCCAGGCACCGTGGATCACACCTGTAATCTCAGCACTTTGGGAAGCCTAGGATCACCTGAGGTCAAAGTTCCAAATCGGCCTGGCAAATATGGCGAAATCCCATCTCTACTAAAAACCCAAGAATTACTTTGGGTATGGTGGCACACACCTGTAATCCCAGCTACTTGGGAGGCTGAAGCACAACAATCTCTTGAACCCAGGAGGTGGAGGTTGCAGTGAGCTGAGACTGTGCCCCTGCACTCCTGCCTGGGCAACAGGGCAAAACTCAGTCTCTAAATAAACATTAAACTAACTCAAAAAATAAATAAGTAAATAAAAATAAAAACAAAAGGTCCGAGAATGCATTTGAAGAGGGGAGAGAAATTCCAAACAATAAACTAATCGAACGTAACATAAAAGCACTGAGGAAGGCCGAGCACAAAGGCTCAGCCCTGTAATCCCAGCACTTTGTGAGGCCAAGGTGGGCAGATTGCTTGAACTGAGTTCAAGACCAGTCTGGGAGAAATGACGAAATCCTGCCTCCTAAAAAAAAAAAAACTATGACACGCCTATAATCCCAATACCTTGGGAGGCAGAGGCAGGCAGATCACAAGGTCAGAAATTCGAGACCGGCATGGCCAATATGGTGAAACCCCATCACTACGAAAAATACCAAAAAATTAGCTGGGCATGGTGGCATGTTGGAAACAGATGCTAGGTGCTGCAAAGAAAAATTAGCACTGAGACAAAGGATCTTTCAGCAACATAATTTTTACTTCCAGACTGCAGGAAAGGTACCCTTGCTAGCCATCGTGCCACGAGAGTAAAATGAACAAAGGAAAACAGACTAATTTATCCCTTACACATCTGGGGTCGTCCTTACTGCTATGTCTGATCGCCGCTGGTTGGAGCCAGACCTCACAGTCTAAATTTACACCTGACTGGTTAATAACTGAAAACTTTTCTGAACAGGTAAACCAATGGAGAGCTGGGACATGCCTGTGAGCACATCCAGCACAAATATCTTGGTTAAAGTACAAGGACATAGAAGGTGCCTGTAAGCATGGCATGTCTAACAGCTACATAGGACAGGGCTTCACAAAGTTATTAGCACACTTATTCTTTAGCAAGAAAAGAAACTTTAAAAAGAAACTGTAGTTCCCACATGGCACATGCCTGTAATCCCAGCTACTCGGGAGGCTAAGGCAGGACAATTGTTTGAACCCGGGGGGCAGAGATTGCGGTGAGCAGAGATCTTGCCATTGCACTCCAGCCTGGGCAACAAGAGCAAAACTCTGTCTAAAAACAAAATGTATACTTCAGGGAAAAGAGTATATTTTAATACTTTAAATCATATTTTCTCGGGAGGGCACGGGGGCTCATGCTTGTAATCCCAGCACTTTGGGAAGCTGAGGTGGATCACATGAGGTCAGGAATTCAAGACCAGTCTGGCCAACATGGATAAACGCCATCTCTACTCAAAGTACAAAAACTAGTTGGGTGTGGTGGTGCATGCCTGTAGCCCCAACTACTAGGGAGGCTAAGGGAGAAGAATCACTTGAACCCAGGAGATGAAGGTTGCAGTGAGCTGAAATCACGTCCACTGCACTCCAGTCTGGGCAACAGAACGAGACCGTCTCAAAAAAAAGGAAGAAAAAGAAAAGAAAAATCACATCTTCTTGTGATTAGTGAGACAAATCTACTTGCACATCTATCCAGACTTGACCTGAGACCTCTAAAATAGTTTCAAACTAAATGTTCTCCTTACCTATCATCAAAGTCATAAAGAAGCAGACTGCCAAACAGAATCCTACTGAAGTCTCAATATTCTTTTAGCTTTTAAAATGGACAAATTGGAAAACAATACTCGTGTAGTATAACAAACAAGGAAAAAACGTAAAGATAAAATGAATGAACAAATGTTGGCAGCATTCTGAAATGAGAAAAGGTAAAGAAATCTACAGCAATATGATAAAGGCATAGAGACCATATTAATGATGCTCATTTAGTAACTGCTAAGAAGATGAAAATTTGCCAGCAACTGCTCTAGAGGAAAACATCAAGGTCTCCCGTGGTCATTCCCCCAGGCCTCCCAACTACGTGCCTAAAGTCATCTACTGAAAAGCTACACAAAGAAAAGGCAGAACAACACTGTGATTTACTGAGTTCCTAGGGATTCTTATCCAGCCATCTATAAAGCTTTAGTCCCATGCATCAGTGGTCCCCAACCTTTCTGCCACCAGGGAGCAGCTTCATGGCAGACAATTCTTCTACAGACCAGTACAGGTGCATGGCCCGGGAACTGGCAACCGCTGCTATGTATCAGAGAGTTAAAAACAATGTAAATTTTTCAGAAAGTGGGGGGAAAGAGGGAGGAAAGAAGGAGGGAGGATGGAGACGGTTCACTCCTAAATTAAATGACTCCTATTCCACTGCTAGTTCTATTATCTGTTACCTGGAAAATACACTCAACCTATATTCCGTTCTGTCTTCATCATATATGAAGCTAAGCAAAAGACTGCTATAATTTCAGCACTTTAGGAGGCCGAGGCAGAACTGCTTGAGTTCAGTCGGGAGACCAGCCTGGGCAACATAGCGAAACCCAGTCTCCACAAAAGGAGGGGTGTGGGGGGAATAAAGCCTCAAGCAGTTTGGACACACAAGAAATACTGAAGTGGAAGGAGTACCAGCTTTGCAGTGCAACCGACTTGGCAGAATATCAGTGTCTTGGCAGACTATCAGTGTCGTTTCAAATTTGTTGTCACTTTTCCTCAAGTACTTAATCCTTATCTGTAAAATGGGTAGTACTTTGCATGATACATAGTTCGGATGACAAGTGAGAAATCGCCAATAAACAGTAGGTGGTACTGTTACAGGGTTTTATCATCACAGTCAATGAAAACACTTTAAAGAGGTTTTTCGATTTGTTACTACCATTTTACACCAGTAGCGCGTGAAGAAAACACTGAGCTTTCTTTTTTTTTTTTTTTTTGAGACGGAGTTTCTCTCTTGTTACCCAGGCTGGAGTGCAATGGCGCGATCTCGGCTCACCGCAACCTCCACCTCCCGGGCTCAGGCAATTCTCCTGCCTCAGCCTCCTGAGTAGCTGGGATTACAGGCACGCGCCACCATGCCCAGCTAATTTTTTGTATTTTAAGTAGAGACGGGGTTTCACCATGTTGACCAGGATGGCCTCGATCTCTTGACCTCGTGATCCACCCGCCTCGGCCTCCCACAGTGCTGGGATTACAGGCTTGAGCCACCGCGCCCGGCAACACTGAGCTTTCTATAGCCTTTAATATGGGACAACAACCAGCATCTGATACAGTACCCTGCATCTAGTGAACACCACTGTTGTCATCTAATCCAAATTAACCCATCATTACACACAGTAACAGAATAACTCTGAAAGCAATTATGCATTCACTAGAATATAAAGCCCTTGAAGAGATCTTTTGTCTGTTTTGTTCACTGATGAATCCCAAGTGTCTATAACAGTGCCTGATACATAGTTGGCATTCATCCGCACGGTAAACTTTCCCTTCGGTCTCAATATTTGGGGTAAGGCTGTGCTCACTTTGGCAGCAAATATGCTAAAATTGGAATGACATAAAGATTTAAAAAAAAAAAAATCAGCGCATATACTAACATTGGAATGACACATACTAAAAAACAAAAATAAAAATATTGGGGGTAGAGGAGTAATCCCTTACTCCATCAGAATGGGACATCTCCTTTGAATTCATGAGGACACTCCCTTGTAAACACGTATGGGTGGAGCAGTACCAAAAAGGTGAAGCCCCAGTGAAAGCAGAGGTGGAAAATAAAGAGGCTGCAGAGATGGATGACATAAAACACTAAGGAAAGGAAAAAGAGGTGGATCAAAGCCTCAACCTTTTTTTTTTGTATACAGTATGTAAGATGGGGTTTCACGATGATGGCCAGGCTGGTCTGGTCTTGAACTCCTGACCTCAGGTGATCCACCCACCTCAGCCTCCCAAAGTGCTAGGATTACAGGCATGAGCCACCACGCCCAGCCAAGTCTTAACCTTTTTACAATTTTTATGGAATTAGAAAAGACACTGAAACAAAAAATACTTTAAAATTAAAACTCTGTTTTGGAATAGTCAGGAAGAAAATGACCATAAATAACCCTGGGGTCCAACTGAGTTTAGTAGAAGGATTAGCTATACATTCAGATTTTATAGAAGTTTTACTTGCTCTCTCAAGTCGTTGAGAAAGTTGTTAAGGGTTTTTTTTTTGGGGGGGGAGGGGGGGACAGAGTCTCACTCTGTTGCCCAGGCCGGAATACAGTGGCACCATCTCTGCTCACTGTGGCATCTGCATCCTGGGTTCAAGTAATTCTCCTGCCTCAGCCTCCGAAGTAGCTGGGATTACAGGTGCGCACCAACACACCCAGCTAATTTTTTTTTTTTTTCGAGACAGAGTTTCGCTCTTGTTACCCAGGCTGGAGTGCAATGGCGCGATCTCGGCTCACCGCAGCCTCCGCCTCCTGGGTTCAGGCAATTCTCCTGCCTCAGCCTCCTGAGTAGCCAGGATTACAGGCACGTGCCACCATGCCCAGCTCATTTTTTGTAGTTTTAGTAGAGACGGGGTTTCACCATGTTGACCAGGATGGTCTCGATCTCTTGACCTCGTGATCCACCCGCCTCGGCCTCCCAAAGTGCTGGGATTACAGGCTTGAGCCACCACGCCCGGCTATTTTTTGTATTTTTAGTAGAGACCGGGGCGAGGTGGGGTGGGGGGTCCCTCACCATGTTGACCTGCCTGTGAACTGCCTGACTCAGCCTCCCAAAGTGCTGGGATTACAGGCATGAACCACCACACCTGGTCTCTCTTTTGTTAAACAGAACGGGGTCTTGCAATGTTACCCAGGTTGGTCTCAAACTCCTGGCCTCAAATGATCCTCCCCAATTGGCCTCCAAAAGCACTGAGACCATAGATATGTCAAGTCTTTGATGAGCTAAGAAACACTCATCAAAATATCAACACTTCAATGACATTTTAACATTTAAGTATTATGCTCTGAATGAAGTATTTCATACTCATGAATGTTTCTAAAAATCTACAAAACTGTCGTAACCATCATACAATAGTGACAATGTTTTCTGGTCAAAGAATGTTTTTGAAAATTTCATGGTAATCCTAACATAAATCTTTAATAATTATTAATTGGACCTATTATAATCAAATACAACTCAATCCCACAAAATCTTTTTTTTTTCTTGAGACAGGTTCTCACTAAGTCACCCACGTGGGAGTGGCGTGGTTTTATCATGGCTCACCGCAGCATCGACCACCCGGGCTCAAGCGATCTTACCACCTCAGCCTCCCAAGTAGCTGAGACTACAGGCACATGGCACCATGTCAGGCAAGCTTTTTTGCTTTTTATAGAAACAGGATCTCACTATGTTGCCCAGGCTGGTCTCAATCTCTTGGGCTTAAGGGATCCTCCTGCCTCTGCCTCCCAAAGTATTGGGATTACAGGCATTAGCCACAGCACCTGGTCCCCAATGACCCTTAAAGGTGTTCACAACCATTCCAAGGTCCTACAAAGTCCTCAACTGACTAACCCAGGGATTACGTAGGATTTAGTAGCTTTCTCTTCGTCAAAACCCACTCACTGTCCAAGGCTTCTATTATGTCATTAGGATCACATTTCACAAAATTGGTCATAGGTAATAACAGTTTTCTTTTTTTTTTTTTTTGGGACGGAGTTTCGCTCTTGTTACCCAGACTGGAGTGCAATGGCGCGATCTCGGCTCACTGCAATCTCCGCCTCCTGGGTTCAGGCAATTCTCCTGCCTCAGTCTCCTGAGTAGCTGGGATTACAGGCACACGCCACCACGCCCAGCTAATTTTTTGTAGTTTTAGTAGAGACGGGGTTTCACCGTGTTGACCAGGATGGTCTCGATCTCTTGACCTCGTGATCCACCCGCCTCGGCCTCCCAAAGTGCTGGGATTACAGGCGTGAGCCACCGCGCCCGGCCCACAAATGGCTTTAAGTAGAGTGACCACAAGGCAACTCTGTGGCCCAGGACAATCCCAGTTGATGCCTGCTGTCATAGCTTATGAATTAGTCTTTTCAAGATGTGCTCATTTGGATGCTAAATTATGGTGATTTTATTATTTGCTACAACTTGATAAATTTGAATGAACTTCTGAAATTGTTCTTAGGGTCATGACTAGCATGAACATTTAGTGAGAGCGCAAACTATAAAGTTCTGCTGGCAACCCAATTTGTCAATTTGGATATACAGATGTCTAAATATATCAAGCTGGCTGGGCATAGTGGCTCATGCCTGTAATCCCCGCACTTTGGGGAAGCCAAAGCAGGAGGATCACTTGAAGCAAGGAGTCACCTGGGCAACTAAGTAGGATCACATGTCTATAAAAAAAATATTTTTTAGTTAGCGGGGCATGGTGGCACCAACTACTTGGAGGGAGGATCACACGACCGCAGGAGTTCAAGACCAGCCTGGGCAACCCGCTGAGATCCCGCCTCTACCAAAAAAAAAATTCTGCCAGCCATGGTGGCTCACACCTATAATCCCAAAACTTTGGGAGGCCAAGGCAGGCGAATCTCTTGAGCTCCAGAGTTCAAGACCAGCCTGGGCAACACGGTAAAATCCCTGTACAAAATGAGCCAGAAGTGGTGGTGTATTTCTGTAGTCCCAGCTACTTGGGATGCTGAGGTAGATCACGAGCCCAGAGGGCAAGGCACACATAAGCCTTAACAGTGCCACTGCATTCCAGCCTGGGGAACATAGAAAGTTCTTTTAAATTAGCTAAGTGTTGTGGTGCACAGCTATGGGCCCAGCCATGTGGGAGGCTGATATGGGAGGATCACTTGAGAGCCTGGGAAGTTGAGGCTGCAGTGAATCATTACTGCATCAATGCAACCCAAGCCTGGCCAGAGCGAGACCTTGTCTCCCAGAAAAAAAAAGAGGGGGCCGGGCATGATGGCTTACATCTGGAATCCCAGCACTTTGGGAGGCCAAGGCGGGAGGATCACCTGAGGTCAGGAGTTTGAGACCAGCCTGGCTAACATGGTGAAACCCCGTCTCTTTAAAAAAAAAAAAAAAAAAACAGCCTGGCACAGTGGCTCACACCTGTAATCTCAGCACTTTGGGAGGCCGAGGCGGGTGGATCACGAGGTCAGGAGCTGAAGACCAGCCTGGCCAACATGATGAAACCCTGTCTCTACTAAAAATACAAAAAAATTAGCCAGGTGTGGTAGCACATACTTGTAATCCCAGCTACTTGGGAGGCTGAAGCAGGAGAATCACTTGAACCCGGGAGGCAGAGGTTGTAGTGAGCAGAGACTATGCCACTGAATTCCAGCCTGGGCAACAGAGCGAGACTCCATCTCAAAAAAAAAAAAAAAAATGTGTCTCTGTGTTTGGTGTTTATGATGACTAAACACCAAACAAACATATATCTCAAACTGCTAATTGACCATTTCAAAAATAGTAAAAATAACCATTTTTCTTGCTGTTCCCTGGTACTCCTTAATGGATTCTTTTTGCCAGCTATCTAGCCTAAACTATCTGGAACATTAGTGAATCATACGCCAACCTCTGACCCTCCTAAAAGTTGTATAACTACATCTGGCCAGGAGCAGCAGCTCACGCCTATAATCCCAACACTTTAGGAGGCCAAGATGGGTGGATCATTTGAGGTTTAAGTTCGAGGCCAGCTCGACCAACATGGAGAAATCCTGTTTCTACTAAAAATACGAAATTAGCCTGGCATGGTGGCGCAAGCCCGTGATCCCAGCTATTTGGGAAGCTGAGGCAGGAGAATTGCTTGAACCTGGGAAATAGAGGTTGCGATGAGCTGAGATTGTGCCACCGCATCTCAGCCTGGGCAACAAGAGCAAACTCTGTTTCAAAAAAAAAAAAAAGACAAAAATTAGCTGGGCGTGGTGGCAGTCACCTTTAATCTCAATTACTAGGGAAGCTAAGGCAGGAGAATCACTTGAACCCAGCAGGTGGAGGGTGCAATGAGCCGAGATTACACTACTGCACTCCAATCTGGGTGACAGCGTGAGAGACTCCCTCTCAAAAAAACAAAGAAAAAAAGTTGTATAACTACATCACTAACTCAACAACTTAACAGCATTCTATAAGATAAAGGTGGCCGGATGTGGTGGCTCATTCCTGTAATCCCAGCACTGTGGGAAGCCAAGTCTGACACAGACTGCTTGAGTCCAGGAGTTCAAAGACCTGCCCGAGCAACAAGGTGAAACCCCATCTCTACTAAAAACACATAAAAACAGCTACATGGGAGGCTGAGGTGGGAGAATCACCTGAACCTGGAAGACAGAGGCCGCAGTGAGCCAAGACTGCGCCACTGCACTTCAGCCTGGGTGAGAGTGAGACCCTGTCTTAAAAAAAAAAAAAAGTTGAGAGAGGACAGTATTTTAAAACTACTTTACAGAAATGCACAGCATCAGCCATATCCTAATACAGACATTAGGATAAACCATGGGGCTTTTTTTTTTTTTTTTTTGAGACAGAGTTTCCCTCTGTAGCCCAGGCTGGAGTGCAATGATGTGATCTCCACTCACTGCAACCTCCGCCTCCCTACCAGAGTAGCTGGGACTACAGGTGCACAGCACCACAGGCCGGCTAATTTTTGTATTTTTAGTAGAGACTGTGTTTCACCATATTGACCAGGCTGGTCTTGAACTCCTGAACTCCGGTGATCCACCTGCCTTGGTCTTCCAAAGTGCTGGGATTACAGGTGTAAACCACTGCACCCAGCATAATTTTTGTCTTTTTTAGTAGAGATGGGCTTTCATCAATGTTGGCCAGGCTGGTCTTGAACTTGAACTCCCAACCTCAGGTGATCCGCCTGCCTCGGTCTTCCAAAGTGCAGGAATTACAGGCGTGAGTCACTGCGTGAGACCAGGACTTTGTTGTTGTTGTTGTTTTTCTTAAAGAGGTGAGGTCTACAAAAAAAACACAGTTTTTAAGAAACTGTATGTTAATACATATTCTGAGAGTATCTAAAATTCCCTTCATTTTTAATTTCACTGTGCCTTGAGATGGGATTTTGTCTCTGAAAGTAAGCCATCATGTTTCCTTAAAAAATGAAAAGATTATTTTGACTACAATTCACCATGGATATTAGTCATCATAAACACCAAAATGTGAATTATTATTTGAATTGTTAAAGAACAAGCATACCCTACTCACTCCCTGCTCCCCTAAAAGGCAACATCTTACTTCAACATAGGTCTCTTGTGAATGGTTAAGGAGAAAAAGTGTACCAGTCTAATGGTCAGCAGACACATAAATTCTGGCTTGACCATTTAATAACTGATTAGCCATATGATTATAGAAAAATCACTCTCTCTCAAATTCACTTTTTTGAACCAGAAAACGGGAGTACGCTCTACCTGCTTCAATTTTGTTATATAAAGTAAAAAAAACTTTTGTCAAAGTGGTCTGTGAAATGTGAGGTGCTGCCTAAATGTTATGTACATATATGTAACAATATAAAGTTTAGGCCATGGGCAGTGGCTCACACCTGTAATCCCAGGACTCTGGGAGGCTGCGGTGGAAGTCCAGGAGTTCAACACCACCCTGGGCAACATAGACAGACCCCATCTCTTAAAAAAAACACAAAAATTAGGTAGGCACAGTAGTCCCAGCTACTTGGGAGACTAAAAGGTAGGAGGATCACTTGAACCCAGCAGTTCAAGCCTGCAGTGAGCTGCAACAGCAACAATGCACTTCAGCCTAGATGAGAGAGCAAGACCCTGTCCCAAAAAAAAACAGGCACGGTGGCTCACTCCTGTAATTCCAGCACTTTGGGAGGCCGACGCAGGTGCATCACCAAGTCAGGAGTTCAAGACCAGCCTGGCCAGCATGGTGAAACCCCATCTCACTAAAAATACAATAATTAGCCAGGCGTGGTGGTGTGCGCCCGTAGTCCCAGCTACTCGGAAGACTGAGGCAGGAGAATCACTTGAACCCAGGAGGCGGAGGTTTCAATGAGTCAAGATCACAACATTGCACTCCAGCCTGGGCACAGAGCGACACTCCATCTCAAAAAGAAAAGTAAGCTTAAAAATTTAACCTTCCTATAAATATACACGCCTAACATTATGCCAGGCATGGTGGCACGTGCCTGTAGTGCCAGCTACTTGGGAGGCTGAGGCTGGAGGATCGCTTGAGCCCTGGAGTTTTGGGCTGTAGTGCACTATGCCGACCTGGTGTCCGCACTAAGTTCGGCATCAGTAAGGTGATAGTCCAGGAGCAGAGAACCACCAGGCTGCCTAAGGAGGGGTGAACCGGCCCAGGTCAGAAATGGAGCAGATCAAACCTCCTGTGCTCATCAGTAGTGGGGCTGCACCTGTGAATAGCCACTGCAGTGCAGCCTGGGCAACACAGCCAGACCCCAGTTCTCAAAAAAAAAAAACACCTAATTATCTGTACCTGCAAAAATTAAACATTTAGGTCAGCTGCGGTGGCTCACCCATGTAATCTCAGCACGCTAGGCTGAAGTGGGCGATCATCTGAGGTCAGGAGTTCAAGACCAGCCTGGACAACACAGTGAAAACCCTGTCTCTACTAAAAATACAATTAGCCGGGCATGGTGATGGGTGCTTTAATTCCAGCTACTTCTCGGGAGGCTGAAGCAGGAGAATCGCTTGAACCCAGAAGGCAGAGGCTGCAATGAGCCAAGATTGTGCCACGGCACTCCAGCCTAGATGACAGAATGAGACTTCACCTCCAAAAAAAAAGAAAAAAAAAAAAAAATCAATGCTTCCAGATCAGCTTCTTGAAGTATTTAAAACATATGTGTAAATGAAATATATTAATCTATGGGGCTGAAATTTCACCTGGTATACCAGGTTAAAAGCAAGAAATTTTTTTAAATTTCTTATTCCTTTGACTAAGCTATAAAACAATTATGAAAAGCCTATTTGTATGGCTTTTCTATACTGTATTCCTTTTGTTTTTCTTTTTTAAGACGAGTTTCACTCTTGTTGCCCAGGCTGGAGTGCAATGGCGCAATCTCAGCTCACTGCAACCTCAGCCTCCAGGGTTCAAGCGATTCTCCTGCCTCAGCCTCCTGAGTAGCTGGGATTACAGGCGTACACCACCCATGCCCAGCTAATTCTGTATTTTTAGTAGAGACAGGGTTTCTCCATGTTGGTCAGGCTGGTCTTGAACTCCTGACCTAACACGATCCACCTGCCTTGGCCTCCCACAGTGCTGGGATTGCAGGCGTGAGCCGCCACGCCCGGCCAATCTTGCTTTTTTTTTTTTTTTTGAGACGGAGTTTCACTCATGTTACCCAGGCTGGAGTGCAATGGTGCGATCTCGGCTCACCGCAACCTCCGCCTCCTGGGTTCAGGCAATTCTCCTACCTCAGCCTCCTGAGTAGCTGGGATTACAGGCACGCGCCACCATGCCCAGCTAATTTTTTGTGTTTTTAGTAGAGACGGGGTTTCACCATGTTGGCCAGGATGGCCTCGATCTCTTGACCTCGTGATCCACCCGCCTCGGCCTCCCAAAGTGCTGGGATTACAGGCTTGAGCCACCGCGCCCGGCCCGAAACCCTGTCTTTAAATTTAAAAAAAAAAAAAAAAAAAAGAATTTACCTTTCACTGCAAATTGCAGTGATTCTTGATTTCATTATATCCCAAACTTGTGAAAGACAACTAAATAGAATGAAATATGCCAGATATGTACAATACTATACAAAAGCCTAAAGAATACATGAAAGAGCATCTGCTTTAAATATACAGGCTAAGTGCTACTTGCAGAAGGGATTTTTTTTTTTTTTTTGGGAGACAGAGTCTCATTCTGTCACCTAGGCTGGAGTGCAGTGGCATAATCTCAGCTCACTGCAACCTCTGATTCCCAGGTTCAAGGGATTCTACTGCCTCAGCCTCCCGAGTAGCTGGAACTAGTAATATTTTTGTATTTTCGGTAGAGACATGGTTTCCACTACGTTAGCCAGGATGGTC